AATAACAAAGAATATCTAGGACAAAATCATCTTAGCAATCACTTTATTTAAAACTCACTCACAGGGGCTGGAGAGATGGCTCAGAAGATAAGAGCACTTGCTGCTCTTCCGAAGGGCCCCCAGATCAGTTCCCACTAGCCCCTTGAGATGGTTCACAACTACCTGTAATGCCAGCTTCAGGGGATCTAACATGCTCTACACACACACACACACACACACACACACACACACACACACACACCCCACTAATAACATAAATAAAATTTTAAATAAATAAGATGCACCCACATATATTCCCTTAGGATCTGAGTAAAAGGCGAGCAGAGTCTTCACCTATAGGTGTCTGGGATGCATTTAGTCACCTTGTAAGCAAGCTGATGCTCTCCCCCAAAGCAGCAACCCAGGCTCATTTGTGGGCTGGGCCCAATGAGAACATATTTGCCAGAGATAATCCAGAGACTTCAGGGTTGGTTTAGCCAACGTAGCACAAAGATGCCCTGTTCTCACAGTAGGAGCAAAGCCAGGTAGTTCACAAAGTTGGCCCCATTATCGGCCATGGTGGGGAACTCCCTTTCTGACTTTGGTGTGCATAGGGGTATTGCTATGATGGGTTATATGGAAAACACAGAGCCTACCCTAGATCACAGCACCTGCTGGTTCTGTCAGCCCCTACCCACCTGGTTTGAGAGATACACAAATTAGGCCACCGTAATCCACTGACGAAAATAAAATTAGGCAGACCTGTGGCGTGGAGGAGCTATGCAAATAGGGGAGCCTGCCCAGAGCAAGAGTGAGGCTGAAGTGTGTCCAAACCCTGAAAATACCATCTTGAGACCAGCAGGAGTTAGGACTGTTCCCTCCCTGCCCTGGGCCTGTGTCCCAGCTTGTGCACCTCTGCCACCCTTGAGGTGGTCACACAGCCTGGCGGCCAGGTTACGGGTTAAACTTCCTCTCTCCTTATAAGGTCACATCCAGCAAGCACCTGGAAGTCCTCCTCATGCAAATGAGGCGTTCCCAGCACCTTACCCCTGGCCAGCGACAGACACTCACCATGAAAGCCTCTACCCACTTCCCAAAGGTTTAAATAGTCTTTGTTCTCCCCAATTAAATGAGCTGTCTCGCTGAAGCTGTCTTCCCAGGCTGTTTCTCTCACACTCGCTGAAGAGTGAGGTGCTGCGGTGCACCCACACACCCTGGCTAAGCTTCACTCCCGCCCCGGGATACCCCGAGGGGAGAAGCAGAAAGGAGCAGCACAGGCCAAGCTCTTGGCTGCTGCTGAGCCACAGTCCACACATCTGCTACAAACACACTTGTGGTCCCTCTCAGAGCAGCCATTATTCAAAGCGTCAGTCCCATGCCTCTGCTCTCAAACACTCCCATTTCCCAACAAGCCCCTCTGAGGCTGAGTGGATGACATTGGACCCTAACCAGCTTTCCCCCCAGCCAAAGACAGAGCTCACACACACCCGCAGCACAGGTGTCTGCCTGTTTCCCTGTGTACCTGTAATCTCCTGCGAGGGACTGTGAAGGGTGCAAAAGGACTCAGGCGGTAATAGGAGAATATGCCCATGGATCTGGGCAAAAGAATGGACCCATCAGTGCCCCTTGTCTTCCTACCCAAGTGATTTAGACAAGCACATGTAACTACCTATTGCCAATCATAGCTGTCTTTAGAATTGATTTTTTAATTCTAAATCAGACTTGTTCTCCTTCCCCTGGAGCTGTGAAGAGGGTGGGGGTGGGGTGGGAGTGGGTGGTGTGTGCCTATACACCAATAACACAATAACACAAGCAGGAGTGAGCTGGGCCACACAGAAAGAGAGACACCCTGAGGACACTTTTTTTTGAGAAGCTGGATCTAGCTGAACCTAAAGTGACAGCAGTTCTGTTATATAAGCAAATTGAATTTCTATTTACAAAACAATATTTTTTTTCCTGTCAAACCCAGAAGTTCTAATAATATGATAGCATGTGTTCGTGATGTTAATTTCCGGCCTCTTCACGGCACGGGTGGTGATGAATAAACGGTCCTCTCCTCACTGTGTGAAGGTGTCATGCCGCTACACTCTCCGGTGGCCCTCATAAGGCAGCCAAGCTGATTGTGGTAGGGCCAGGTCACAGGTCAGAGTTCAGCCACCGTGGGTTACTGCAGCTCTAGCCCCATTCCTCTGAAACCTTGTTACAGTTTGACTACAAAATGTCCTCCACTGAATCATGGTTTGAGGCTTGGTCCTTCTCTAGTGGTGCTATTTTGAAAGAGTGCAGAGACCGGAGGTGGGCCCTAGCTGGAGGCTAGGTCCCTGAGAATAGGTCCTTAGAGGCTCGCTCCTCCTCCCTCCCTCCTTCACTCATGAGTTCAATCCCTCCCATCTCCCTTCTTTCTCTCTCCTTCCTGTTTCTGCCGTGAGTTCTGCCTCACTCTAGGCTCAGAGGCACAGAGCCAAGCAACCAATCACAAAAAAAAGAGCCTTCTAAAACCATGAGCCAAAATAGTTTCTTTTTTTTCCTCCAAGTTGTTTGCGTCCAGCATTCCATCACAGCAACAAAAAGTAACACACAAACGTGTACCTGGATAATACCCAAATGTCTCTTATTATCTGTCAACCCACCATTTGACACCTTGCTTAACTGGGTTGTAAAATCAGGTGGAAGAGCAATTTTTAGGAATGGTCCTCTTAGCAGGTCACTCTGTTGTGGTCACTGGAACCCCACACCATGGGACACAATTGCAGCCAGGATAATGACATGCATTTCTTACTGGTCTAGGTATGCTGATGTAATCACCTTGGTTCAGTTTCTTAACTTGAGGAACCCAAATACCCTCAACTCACAAAGACTGGCCAGGCTTTGGCAAGCTGACTTCACCAAATTCTAAAGAAGTTGCTTGAGGAAACTGAATGACTAGTTATTCATTTAGAATGAGAAAGATGACATTTAATATTTAATTGACATGAAGATTAGTCTTTGGACAGTCTGAACATTATCTTCTTCATAAGAAAATCTACCGAGGAAACTTAATTAAGGCAAATTGGATAAATATAAGATGAGACAAATGGTCCCGGATAAGTCACGTGGCTTGTTTTCATGGAACTAGCATGGCCAGATGACCCACGCTCAGGTCAGGTCTACAGGTCCCAACGCCCTCCCAGCAGACAGCGACAGGCTTCAGAGACCTTATCATAGTAGTGACCTACACCAATGAGTCTGGCATTCAAAAAACCAAGAAAGTCTGGTCCAGAGGCTTGAGAGTCTGAGGCCAGCTCGCACTGCAAAGTAAGGCTCTGAATAATTAAATAAGTGTATATAACCCCAGCACTGACAAGGTGAAGGCATCAGAATCATGAGGTCAAGGTCATCCTCAGCTACATACTCACATATAGTCCAGGTCAGGTCAGTCTGGACTGCAAAAGACTTTGTTCCATATATATATATATATATATATATATATATATATATATATATATATA